CAACAGAAGAACTCAACTTTACAAGAAGTCAAGATAATATAATAATTAAAATGTTAGGGTTCAGAATAGATAGGAAAGGTTGCTCAAAAAGAAACTTTTGGCATAGAACAATATTAGAATTAAAAGATATAATAGATAAAATAAGAAGTTGAAATCTTTCATTCTCCAGACGTATACTAATAGCTAAGTCACTCTTACTATCAAAAATCTGGTATATCTCATATATTCAACTGCAATTGAGATAAGATGTTTCTGAGATCAACAATTTGATAATAACTTGAATCAAAAACAAGTCTAAAATCCTATCTCAATATACAAGTTTCCAACTGCCACTAGAAAAAAATGAATTGAATGTACCTATAATTAAAGATATAGTAGATTCAAGACTAATAGTGATATAGATTAAGCTTCTAACAAGTGATACTCTATGAGCAAAAATAGAAAGAAAATTAATTGACAAAAGGCTATAAGACAAACAAGGTATAACTATAATTAAAGCCTTTTTATTAGAACCAATAAAACTAAAAGCATGACCAGAAATATAGAAACTATTATTAACAGCCTGGAAGCATCTGAATGGCCAAATACTAAACAAGAATAAAGCTTGGCCCTAGTACTTAGAAGAACTTGAGATAATAAAAAAGAAAGGAAACAAATATATGGTTACTATAGCAACAGAATTTTTGAGACAAACATCAGTTCACCAAACTATGTCCCAGTTAAATAATTTTATAACACCAATAAATAGTGAACAATTGATTTGAAAATATCTTAGCTTGGTACTAAACAAAAAGAAAGATATATTCTGGAGAATAATCCATAATGCACTTCTTCTAGGAAACAGGATAGCTCATTTCTCAATAGGCAAATTAGGGGAGTACCTATGGTGCCCCAATAAGATACAGAACCTCAACTACTTCATTTTAGGATGCAGAATTAGTAAAAAACTTTGGGAATAGGAATACAATTTTATTAAAACAGGGACAAATACTCCTTTGATATCTATAGAAGAAGTAATTACAGTATCAAATATTACAAATAACTTAAACAAGAAAGAGATAATTTGGCTTCACATTAACTTAGTCTATGAACTCTAGTGCCTATACACAAATAAGAGATAGGGTAACAGACATATTCCAGATATGATATTATAATACATTTGGAAAATACGTTTGAAAAGAGAAATTATAGTAATATCAAAATGTACTACATTATAAAAAAATGCAAAAATACTACTAAAATTAGTAGACGATCAACAATTACTAAATAAATAATCCTGTATTATAATTATTTGTAATATTGTACATCATTTAAAATTAATAAAATGTAATAATGTCATCCTCATAGCACTTTGCTATAGAGGTAAAAAAAAAAAAAAAAAAAAAAAAAAAGAATTATACAAAAATAATAGCTTTGCATTTAAATAATAACTTTGCATCTAAGCAATAGCTTCACAACAAAACAATGGGCTTTACATCTTAACAATAATAACTATCATAGCTGATAATTGAAATCAGCTGATACTTGAAATCAGAGACTTCAATTTAAAAATATAAACCCTACTAAAATCCACTTATACTCTTTCATTATTAAAACTAACTCTAAACCCTAATCTAACTATGAAAAAAAAGCTAACAAAATGCATCCCAAAAATTTTTGAAAATTTCATATTAAATTAATTAAAATTTCAAGCATCAGCTGATTTTAGGTATCAGACATGACAATAACTTTATATCCAAGCAATAACATAACCTTTAAGGCTTTATTATTTACTTGAGGCTTTATTCTTTATAAGGAACTTTAACTTTTATTAAAAATTAAACTATTGTCAATAAAAACATGTGTAGTGAGATATGACAAATTGTTACAAAAAAATGATAAAAAATTAGATTATTCTAATTGTAACATAGTATCATCGCTTTTTATTCAATTAAATTTATTAATTATTAATCAAAACGATAATATCTATGTTACAATTAAACATAATCTAATTTTTTATTACAGTATTTCGTATTTCACTAAGGCACATTTTGATTGATGTCATCCCAATTTGTTTTTATGAAGGTTTCACAGGTTTTGCAGGTTTTGAAAGTTTCGCAAGTTTTGCAGGTTTTGCAGGTTTTGTCAGAGGTTTTGTCATTTGAGATGGTAAGTTTCGTCTTTTGTCATTTTGCAAAAAGGTTTTGTCTAACAACATTAGTCGCACTTAAGAGATGTGGTACTGTTAGGGATGGACCACTGCGCAGTGTAATTTTTATAACTCGGGCCGGCCAGCATAATTCTGGCCAACTTGCATAATGCGGGCTGAAATAAGACTACAAGGAATAAATACAATTTTGAATATAAATAATTTTACTAGTATTTTTATGAGTAAGATATCGTAAAATATTTCCTATAAACCTAGCTGCCCATCAAAATTGTTACAACCGATTTTTGTAATTGACTAAGTTATACATGTGTGCCTAAATTATTTCGGCATTGCTAAAATTTTTATATGAAACCCTCCGAATAACTATACTATATGATGTATTTTGATGAAGAGTTCAAAAAATTTCGGCAATAATTTCAGCATATATGAAAATTAATTTCGGCACTATATAAGACTAATTTCGGCTGCCTAAATGCCGTAGTTACTTTTTTATTAATATGGGCAATTTAGGCACACATGTATAGGCTAAGAGCGACAATAGGTCAAAATTACTCAAATTTTACTAATGAAAATTATTTCTGGGTTAATTTTACATAGAGCAGGCCTAGTTTCTCAAAATTTCTATTTTTGAATAAAAAAAAGTTAATTCCGGCCGAAAATTACATAATTTATGTAACGTGAGCAAAATTTTGTCGATCATAGCCGTTAGCCAATCAAAATCGAGAATCTGCCGTGAAGATATGCGCATTTCATGCGCAGGCTGCGCAGGCTGCGCAGGCTGCGCAGAAAATTCCAAAAATTCGAGATTTGCCCATCCCTAATAATGTCAAAAAACGTCATTAAAAAGTTCATTGGCTACACCGGCAATTTATTCATCCGGCAGATCAAGTTCGGAGCTTTTTATCAAGACATTCGTTTTTTTAACTACGTATGATATTTACTATTGTCACAAAGAGTTATAGAAAAAAGGGAGTCAACAATGGGCATTCGGTAAATAAAGAGTTTAAGCGGAAATTATTGTTGAGAAATTGGCTAAAGAGGGTGCCAGATAAAGTTATACTGTTATGCATAATAAGAGTTATTTTAAACGAAATTGGTAAAATAGCAACACATTACATAAAAGAAAAAAAATTATTGATGAAAAAAAAAAAAAAAAATACTCAAAATAATTTTATTCACATGTAGAGACTATAATTTACATACAGATTATATTTAATACGTACGTAATCCAAGAAGTGCGTATTATTATTTCCATATCGAGAAATTAAACATAACGATAATGAGAACAACTTTTTTTTTGTAATTAACAAAACGGTTACGTTGCATCGAAATAGTGAATATTAAATTGTAATAAACAATATTTTCATTATTATGACTAGTTTACTAAAATTAACCGGAATTTGCTATGATCAACAATGGGATTTAGTTGTACAAACACATGACTTTGCGAAGTGCAATACGTACTGAAGAAATCATGAATAGAAAACAAAGCGAAAAGAATTAATTGTATTTATTGTATACAGTATTGCGCCAAAACCAAATGATTTACTATAAAATAGACAATTTAATCCAAATTATTCTTAAATATTTGATCGTGAAACATACATTGAATGCCATAAGGGGGGGGGGATTACCTACTAAAATCACTCCTTGCAAAAAGAAAAAAAAAAAAAGGTTTTCGATAATGCATTTTTAATCAAAATATTATCACTTATATTGTCACGGGCTAAAGTATTATTTCCGAAGTCGGACCATCGATTATATCATAAATTAGTCTGGATAGAGGTACATCGAGAAAGTTAATTACGTGTATGATCTACAAGGCTTAGAGATCGTCGAGGGAATTTTCTAGCGATAATGATATTAGTGCAAATGGAAGAAGGTTCAACTTGAATAGAAGTAAAAGGGATTGACGAGATAGACAAAGGGAATAAGGAATTTAGTAAGAGTAGCGGATAGACAAAGGGAATAAGGAATTTAGTAAGAGTAGCGGATAGAGAAAAGCAAAGCCGCCTGTTCTATTAATATATAAGGTGAGTTATGTCCAAGCCTCATTAGTTCTTTAACGTTATATAAAGGCGTAACTTTGTTAAGGTTGGTTACGACACTTATGTGCGAGGCAGGGGCACATAAGCTCATTAACTATAATAATTCCTCTTATTATATTATTACCCAAATCACGTCACGCCACTGGCGAGTTGCCTTAACGCATAATCGTTTTATTCTCAACTGATTCCTTAGATACGTTTAAACCATCCCGTAAAAATATATTTTATGAATTAAGTACAGTATGTACCCGGAATTTAAACATCTCCAAATTAAGAATTCTAAACTTAAAAAACAAACCTATTTATAGTAATTGAACTAATAATAGTAATCAGCAGCTAAAAATAGAACTAATTATCAGTAGAAATTCTTCAAAGTAATATGAACTTTTTAAATAAGAAATAGTTTAAAATTCGGATTATTATGTGAAGTTTGGCCGAAAATTATTTATCCTTAAATATTCATGAATTATTCAAAAGAAGGTTTATATTCTCAAATTTTATAGACCTGTAAAACGGAGATTACGGAGTTATTGGCACTGTGTAACTATTCATGATCATTTACCAAGATCAAAATTACATAAACGCATATTAAAGAGTAGACATATATAGTATTCAAACTATTTCGAATCGAAAACAATACAGGTCTTTCAAAATAGGTAAGCCAGTTACTCTTGATTTTTTTATAAAAGGCCGAGTAGTTTCTAAAATAATAAAATATAATCTTGGAATAACGAAATTTGAAAAAAAAACTACATAAAATAGAATTTTTTTTTTTTTTTTTTTTGTTTTGAGAAACTTTTATCATGACAAATACATTAGGTACACCAATATTCCAGATTCCAAACTTGTCAAGTACAGAATTTCTTAACGAAACAATAAAAATAGAACAAGAGATTGATGAGATCAATTCATACGTTAAACAAATTCAAACTGTTCATGAAAGATTATTAACAGCAACATCGGCCTATCAAGTAACAATAATTTCTAAAGAGCGAGATCAACTTACAGATAAATTAATAATATTACTTACAGAAACAAAAAATCGTATTAAAAAGATAGAATCCGAAAATATAAAATTTCAAAGAAATCATCATCCAGATGCTGTAATACGAAATAATCGACATGGACTTCTTAAACAAAAATTTACAAAAGCTTTAAATACTTACCGAGAAATTGAAGATTTATACATGCAACAAGAAAAAGATAAAATAATAAGAGATTATCAATCAGAGAATCCTGAAGCGACACAAGAAGATATTGAAAATTATCTTCAAAGTCTAAATGAACAACCTATGATTTCAATAAATGTATCGGGAAGCAGAACTGAAGCTGAAGCAGCATTAGAAGGAGTACAAAAACGTTATTATGATATTCAATATATTGAAAAAACCATCGCAGAAATAATTAAATTATTTAATGAGATACAATTACATGTTGAAGTAAGTGATGAAAAGATAGAACAATTAGAGGAAGAAGTTGAACAACGTGCGGTTGATTTGGAACAGGTAAACGTGGATTTGGAATTGGCGCAAGTAGATGCAACAAGTTCAAGGAATAAAAAATGGATATGTGTTAGCTTAACTTTGATCCTTATAATAATACTTATAATCATTCTCATTTTTATTGTTCTTCCATCGAAATAATAACTATTTCATCATTGATGTATTGTAAATTTTGTATAATATATATATTATAATAGCTTCTTTTTTTTTTTCCTTCTAGTAAGTTTGTGCTGTTCATACTAGATCCTGCGCTTTAATAAGTATATATTTAAGCTTATAAAATAATAATAATAATAAATAAAACTATATAGAAAGATATATGTTATATGCACTTTTAATCAATATCTTTTGTTTGTCGGGGTTTCATTCATTAATAATGAATGAGAGCTCTAATCTAAACTGGACAACACCAGCCAAATTAAATTGCTTGGCACCATATATAGTAAGTATTATCGTAAACTCTTTGTCTAATCAATTGGTGAAACAGTAATATAATACTTATAGAATTATATAAAATTGGTTTAATAGTTTGATTATATTTTAATTAAAATTTTACTAATTGGTTGAGTCAGCCATTAATAATAACAGTTTTAATCTAAATCAAGATTTTTGCGTAGCGTATCAAGTGGGGTTATTTGCATTTATGAACTACTGAATATAGCATATAGGAATTGTCACAAGTTAACTTGTTTACAATTTAAAAAAAAGTTTATCAACAAAATGTAAGCACAACCAGTATCAATTTGCAGAATTCTAGAGCTTAAATAAAAACTAACTACATTTATATCACAAACTTACTTCTATACAAGATATTTTCATTTTTGTCTTGGAATTTTTCCTATTAATATGTATGATTCAAAAGTCTTTGTCGCGTGACAAATGACCTGGGAATTTCTCCTGTTTTGCCAAGAAATTAATTACAAACCCATGTGATACAGAGAATGAATAGTTTGCACGTTTGGCTCTCCTTATTTTTTTCGGTTCAAGGAAGAACAGGGACGACCCAAGCCTGGTGACATTTAGTATCGCACTAGGTATTTACAACTTTTTACTTATTGTCAAAACCATGTGAAACTAATTGTCACATAGTTTGGGT